CTATTTCTGGTTTGTATTGTCCTCCAAATTTTTAAGCCTATTATACTGATTATCTATCCAAAGGAGCAGAGAGGTACCAAGGAGCTGTGAGTAGTGGAAACAGGTAAACAAAAGTGGAGGAGGCTGTGAACACATTAAGCATATACTATGTTACTACATTTTGGTTTTTGCTTTTTCACCATCATGCCTTTGCTCTGAGCCATGTCAACTCATTTTTATTCCTTTCCCTGGGAAATTCTGTATCCCAGCTTTGCCAGTCCCTCTAAGGCATTAACAGTCACATTTTTCAGACAACAAAATTCTGGAACAGTCTAATATTCAAATTTTAATTTCTCATTCCATGTAAAATTTTTCTCCTATTCTTAATTGTTGGGTGCTTATAATGTGAGAGGGGTGAGGTTCATGTCAAAATTCCACCACCTTCTTTTCTACTCCTTGTCCCCCAAAATCAGAGCTGCAGGAGTGAGAGGACGAGAGTAGAAAAGGCTCTTGCTTAGCTGATCCAGTTGGAGTCAAGTTAGCAGGTGGTGAATCAGGATGTGTCAGATGTTTGATTCTTTCTCTCAAGGAATTTTTGTGTTTCTTTGGATGACTGCCTCTATGATTTAGTTCATGTGATAATTGAGGTTGTGTGTCAACTTGGCTGGACCACAATTCTGAGTGGTGATGTGGTTATTACCACAATGAGATTGATGTATATGCGTTGAGCAGCCAACCCGGTGAAGGAGAGTTGCCCTAGGAGTGTGGCCTGCTTCCAATATATATATGTATGGACATCCTGGGAAAATGAGAGAATTTTCTGTGGCTCTGGACCCCGTTGTGAACTGTCCATGAGCAAACAATCCACCATTCTGCCTGATAATCTTGGATTTGTCATCCACTGGAGTCCACAGCTTGTATACTACTTGCCAACCTTGAGCTCATCAGTCCCTGCAGTTGCAGGAGTCAGGTAAACCCTCCAGGTGGGACTTGCCAGCTTCTATAATTGTGTGAGCCATTTTCCTAAGATAAATTTCTCTGTGTCTCTCTATATATCTATATACAAGCTTTACTGATTTTGCTTCTCTAGCGAACCCAGCCTAACACAGTTCATGTGGATGCAAAGGTAAAAAGTCCTATCCCACCTTCAGCTTCATACCCTCTTAAAAGTGCAGTCTTAGAAACTGTAAGGCCACAGTACGGAGAAAAGGACGCACAAAAGTGAGGTTAAAGAGAAGTTTTTATTCTGAGTTTCTGGGGGAGGTTTACAGGCCCCCAAGAGGGGCCCGGGTGAGGTTCACGGGTCCCTGAGAGGGGCCTGGGAAGTCGCACTGCCTGGCTGGGGAGGGGAGGGTTTATAGTCTTGTGGAGGACCTAAGTGGAGACACTAAGGAAATAGTGGGGTCCAATTAGCTGTTAG